GCAAGCAGGATCAACATTAGACAACCAAGCCTGTCTCCCCAGAGAAGTGCTGACTTTAAATGTCCATTCAGTGTGTAAACCCCTCAAGCAGGACTGTTGAGAGTATTATTGACAGTACCTGATTTAGTGAGCAAGCACTTACTATGTACCCTGAACTGTTCTAAGCACTTTTTAAAATATTAACTTGTTTAATCTTTACAACATTTTACAGAGGTAGTTATTATCTCCATTTTATCGATAAAAAAGCCAAGGCATGAAAGTTTCTTAATAGCCACTTAAGCAGCAAGTGAGGTTTGAACCAAGACTTCTTGCTCTTATTAACCCTACACAAGCCACATAGCACACTAATGTGCTATCTTGTTGCAAATGGCCCAGAACTTGCTAATTCTGACAAAGTATGCTACTCTTGTTTCTTTTAAAGCACCTTCTGAGATCACAAAAGCTTAGGAAACAGCAGAATTTAGGGTTATTTATACATTAKTTTGATGGTGATATAACAAAAGAGGAAGGAAAAGAAACTGAAGTGGTGACCCACCGCCCTGAAAAACTGCCCAACCCAGCATGGTAGCCCACACCTGTAATCCCAGCGGCCCAGGAGGCTGAGGCAGGAGGATCACCAGGTCAAAGCCAGACTCAGCAAAAGTGAAGCACCAAGCAACTCTGTGAGAGACTCTCTAAATAAAATACAAAATAAGGCTGGGAATGATGCTCAGTGGTTGAGTGCCCCTGAGTTCAATCCCTGGGGCAAAAAAAAAAATGCCCAGTGATTGAAAGTCTTGGAAACACACACCAACTGCTCCTGCACTAGCCTGGTGCAGGTAATTAAGTAAACATTAGGGTCACTCCATAATCTCAGAAAAGGAAAGAATTTTTACTTTTTTTTTTTTTTTTTTTTTGGTGTGTGTATGTGTGTGAGTGTGGTGGTGGTGCTGCTGGAGACTGAAGAAAATTCCTTTCCTTAAAGGACCAAACCTGCCAGATGTGATAATGTATGCCTGCTAGCCCAGAGGCTAAAGCAGTTCAAGACTAGCTTCAGCAACTTAGGGAGACCCTGACTTAAAATTAAAAATAAAAAAAGCTGGAAATGTAGCTCAGTGGTAGAGTGGCTCTGGGTTCACTACCCAGTACCACAAAAAATAATTAATTATGAATCAATTAAGGAGCCAAACCACAACACACTTCCCAAACTTCTAGGCAGCCTCAATCGTCCCTCTTGAGCCAGGAGACCCCTTTTGCTCCAAGTTGCCTGGACTGTCTAGTCAGAAAGTTTTTTGGAAAAACAAGTAAATAACATTGCCAGCTCCTGGCAAACAACTGGAACTAAATATGCTGAGGCCTCACTATGAACTGCCCAGGATGCAAGAAACTAAAGGGGCGGGGGGGAGGGAGTGCTGATGAGTGATCTTGGCCAAATTTTATTGTTACATTGCGTATTGTGTACACATATAGACATGTAACAACAAATCCCATCAGTATGTACAACTATAATGTATCAATTTTAAAAATGGGTGGGGGTAATTCAACTTTGAGATAGTGCCTAATGTGAGTAAATAGCCAGAACTGTCTTTCAGTGAGTTCTATGTAGAAAAGCCACAGTCCTCTGGCAGCTGCCTGACCATCTTATGTCTCACAGCTGGGCACATGTACACCATACTGATCGCTCCTAAGATGCATATTTTTGGGAGCTATCCAAAGCACACAAAACCCTGTATTCATTCAATAATAGTTTCCCTCATTATGGAGTAAAACATGATCTACTGAGTAGCAGGAAATCCCAACAAAAAAATAACAAAATGGAGCAGAGTGGCCATCCATCAGTGGATTCAACAATGAGCAATGTAAGTCCCCTCACCTACTATCATGACAGGACATTCAACTCCTGGGACCCTCATCATAGCCAAGAGGGTAATTCTGTCACTCATCCAAGGCCTTGACATCCCCGTTTTGTCCAAGTCTAGAGGTTTAAGTGTGGGTATCCARCTGCCACTATAACACCCCAGACCTGCAAATCCTGCAAGGGCCCTCTGATGTGGGGAGAGGGGCTGTATTTTACTCTTCTCTTGACACTGGGAGGGATCAATTAAGGCTCAAATTCAACAGTTCTGCAGACCTGAGTTCTAGTCACCATTTACCTCCTAGTCAGGTCACCACCACAAGTTACTTCACTCATGTTTCCCAGGAAGGGAAACAATATTAACAACAACCAGGGCAATAATAATAGCAACCATTTTCTACATACCTACCTGTGGTAGGCAGAACAGAGTCAAGCCATTTACCCTCCTAGTGACTGGCAGATCATTAGCTGAAAGGGCAATAATTGCTATCAGTCAATAATTCTCAGGGGTACTCAATGCAAATGGTCAACAGAACACACTTAACACCTAGTGGGTGCCCCCAGATAGAACTAGTGTCATTGTTGGAACAAGGTAACATAGAAGCAAGAAGTGAATGAGTAAACTGAAATCCAAGCAGGGGGTAACACCCCCTCCCCCATTCTACCCTGAGCTTTGGAAGGGCCATTACCGGAAACAGCCCCAGGACCAGAGAGATGAGGCCTCAGCCTTTACCCCCCACAGTAGTCCTAGCACCTGGCAAGATTTCCTCTGGTTTCCAGAGGCTGGAAAACCTGCTTGCTGTGAGAGAGCTTTCTGGAGAGCAACTAACTAGGCTGGAGTCATAAATGTGGTCACACCCTTTGACCCAGGAATGTCACTTTAGGGAATATGATCCAAGAAATAATTAAAAAGGAAAAAGAAAACAACGTAACTTGTGGTGAAAAGAGGTCTACATAAAAAAGAAGCTACCGGGCTGGGGATGTGGCTCAAGCGGTAGCGCGCTCGCCTGGCATGCGTGCGGCCCAGGTTCAATCCTCAGCACCACATACAAACAAAGATGTTGTGTCTGCCGAAAACTGAAAAATAAAAATATTAAAAATTCTCTCTCTCTTAAAAAAATAAAAGAAGAAGAAGAAGCTACCAACAGCCAAAAGGCCCACCTCAGAGAAAGGGAAGCCCATCCTGGAATTCAGAACTACACAGGCCTAAGGACAGAGTGGGTTCAGGAATGAAAATCAGGACGGAGCAAAAAAATGTAAGGGGCCAGACAAAGTGTAGAATGAGATCTACGAGCTCGAAGCACTGATATGAAGCCACACTGGAAGCAGTTGCTGCCTGTATAAAGCAGTCCAGGATATTCTGATGCTGTGGGTTTTGTTTTAAGAGATTTTATGTCATGTTTGGATACTCCTGGTTTACTTTAAGTTTCATTGTTCAGTTAATTAAATAAATACATATTTTAAAACAAAGAACGGATTCAAGTTGAGATCAGCCAGGCTTTGAGATTCCTTAGAGGAAAGGTGGGTTATTAAAAAGGAAAAAATTCTAGAATCCAGAGGGATTTTTCCTCCCTAATTCAGGAGACAGCCTCCCCAAAAGAAGACTAAAGCACCCCACTCAGCTGCCTTCTATACAGAAGCCATTCTTGGGAGGGGAGACCAGCTACGAAGCCAGCTGGGTAGTGGCAGCTGCCTGGGCCCAGGAAGTAGGAAGCAGCCCTACCTGCTAGGACAGGTGTGGGAGAAGGCAGGGCAAGCCAGGAGGAGCTCAGCCTAGAGGGAACCCCTTTTTCACTGGAGAAAGTCCTAGCAGCCACACCTACCTCCCTTCCTTTCTATCAGTGTAGCCACTGTAATGGCCTGGTTTCCTCAGGAAGACACCCACAGACCCAGGCCAGTCCCTCCCTGGTAAAATACACACATACAATGTAGATTAGATGTACACAATTCTCTGCATACATACTGTGCACATCCATGCTGTATACACACAAATTCATCCTCTCTGTACACATACACAATACACACACATTCTCTGCACACACCTGAACACACACACACACACACACACACACACACACACACACTACAAAACCCCTGCTCTTGTCGCAGCACACATCCTCAGCAGCTCTGTGATTCTCTTGGAAGTCCCCAACTCCCCCAGGCCATAAGGGAGACCTCATTCTCATTCTTGTTCCCCAGTCCAGCAAAAGAACAACCAGACACCACTTCTTTCCCTCTCTCAGGAAGACCCTGGTAGGAGACTGGGAAAGAAAAACAACACCACCTTCCAATAATCACCCACTTCCTTTAATTCTAAGCTGGGCACTACTTGCTTGACCCCAGGGAAGTCAATTAACCCTCTGAACACCCTTATCTGTAAAATGGGTCTACACCTCAGTTCATTGGGTGTATAGGGACTAAAATAAAGTAGAGGGCTGTAGACATACAGCCAGCACTAGTTGAGACTTCAACAAGACAAGCTGTTACTACTCCATCCACCCCTAAATTATCTCAACCGGCCCCAGGTGAGCTGGGAGCAGAAGGAACAAGAAGGACACACACACCCGCGGCYCCCCCTTCAACCTCTGGGCCCACAGCCATTCTGGAGACTGCAGGCGAGGGTACTAGGTCCTTTTCTCCACCTAGGCAGGGAGGTCCCAAACGCAGAGAGTCCCTCCCCAGGTCTCCCCGCCCAGCCTCCAAGCCAACGCCCACTAGGCAACCACTGACCGCACCGACCTGGGCGCAGAAGGCAAGCGCTCCCCAGAACTTCTGACTCTAAGGTCCCGCCCCCGAGAGCCGCGGACAAGGGTTTCCAGACCCTCTCTCTCTCAGGGGCGCCGCAGGCACAAAGAAATGCCATACCTCCACCTGCGACCCCAACAATAACACTCAACCCACTGCCAGCTCCCAGGAACACTGCTGGGGCGTATGGCGGGGAGCAATCACGCCAGGTCCCAGTTCAGCTATGGCACCAAGRAGGTGGCCTAGGTCCCTACGTCCCCACACTCAAGTACTATTTCTCCTTGCCTCCGCGTCCACACCTAGTCCCGGTGGGGGAGTGCGGTGAGGGCATGCTTTGGGGAGCCCCTGCCTCTCGCACGGGTGCATGCGCTGGGACCGGACTGTACACCTTTTGGCGCCTGGGCCCGACCAGAGTACTCACCGATGGACACGAGCTTGATGCTCTCACGGTCCAGAAACTCGAGCGCCACAGACACATTCTCGAGCTGCATCTGGCGGAAGGTGGGCCGCTGGTGGTACTTGCGGTACATGTGCTTCTGGCTGAGCACCTCGAGCAGCGCGATAAGCCGCAGCCCATCGCTCAGATCTGTCTGCAGGTTCCCGATGCGTTTGTTCACGCACTTTAGGTGCTCATTGCACCAGCGTGTGAACGTGTTCTGCTGGATTTTCTTCCACGGCGCGTCCTCCGCCAGGTCCTTCTCGGTCACCGGCATCCTGGCGGCGGAGAAAACGCAAAGCGCAACGAGCTGCCGGGCACTGGCGTCGGAAGGCCCAGGGGCCGGGGAAGCGAGAATAGAAGCCGAGCGGGAGCGGGGGTTCGAACTCGCTGCTACCGTAGCCGTGGCCGGAGCTGCTCTGCGGTCGCTCTCCTCCAAGCGCGCGAGGCGCCTGGCCCTGCGCCTGCGCGCTGAGCCGCTCCGCCCTCGAAGTCCCGCCCCGGCCCGGCCCTATAAGGGCCTACAGGGGAGCTCCCGGGCCACGCTCGCCCCCTGCCGCCTGAAGCGTGCACAGCTCCCCACTGTCTCCAAGGTGTCCCGCCGCTCTATTCAGTAGGATGTTGCTAAAGGAGAAAGTCTCAGGCCAGGCCTGTAGTGAGGGAACTTTCCRGAAGCAGGTAGCTGGCCAGAATAGGCAGGGACCGCGACGTGAGGAGAGGCGCGTGGGGAGGGCATTCAATAAGGGTTTTTGTTCCTGCGGTGTGCCAGGCACTCAGCCTGCAAAGCAGTGGCTAATAAGACAAATTGCCTTATTTGTCTTATTTGTATTCCATAACCTCAAGGAGTTCGGAGGCTAATGTTCAACTGTCACAAATAGCTTAGTAGTAGTATGAACCATAATGTTTTCTATGAAACATTAGTTGCCTATTGCTGATGTAACAAATAATCAAAGCTCAGTGTGTTAAAAAAAAAAAAAAAAAAAAAAACCACAAATTTGTTATCTAGCAGTTTTGTGGATTTCCAATGTGGGCTTCACTGAACTAAAAGCAAGGTATTAGTAGGATGCATTCCTTTCTGTAGTCTCTGGGGGGGAATCTGTTTTCTTGCCTTTTCTAGCTTCTGGAAGCTGCCTGCGTGCCTTGACTATGACCCTTCTCTTCCTCATCTTCAAAGCCTGCAAAATCAGAACTTGGTGTGGTAGTGCATGCCTGTAACCCAGGAGGGTGAGGCAGGAGGGTTGCACATTCTGGGCCAGCCTGACCAACTTAGCAAGACCCTGTCTCAAATATTAAAAATAAAAGGGGCTGGGAATGAAGTTCAGTGGAAGAATGCCCTTGGGTTCAATCCCCAGTACCACCAAAAAAAAAAAAAAAAGTAAAATATAAATTAAATATAAAATATAAACTATTTTTAAAAAAAAAAAGGTATTCACGGGGCTGGGGTTGTAGCTCAGTGGTAGAGCGCTGGCCTAGCATGTGTGAGGCACTGGGTTCAATTCTCAGCACCACATATAAATAAATGAATAAAATAAAGGTCCATCAACAACTGAAATACATATATATTTAAAAAAAAAAAAAGGTATTCACTCACAGATCCAGATTTAATAATATTAATGACTTTTTTTTTTTCTAACAGTTGTGAAGTTGAACCCAGGGCCTGGTATGTGCTAGGCAAGCATTCTACCACTGATAGATCCCCAGGCATGTGCCACCATGTCCTGCATACCCGCAACTCGACACTTTGGATTACATAGGGACAGTTTTTAGGCCAGGATAATTTTCTTCCTTTTTTTTCTTGTACTGGGAATTGAACTCAGGGTGTTTTACCACTGAGCTACAACCCAGTCCTTTTTGTTATTTTGAGAGAAGGGTTAARCTAAGTTGCTTAGGGCCTCACTACACTGCTGAGGCAGGTCTTGAACTTGGAATCCTCCTGCTTTAGCCTCCCAAATCACTGGAATTATAAGCATGTTCCACCCTYGATCTCCCTATTTTAAAATCAGATGATTAGAAAACTTAATCTCATTTGAAGCTTTAATTTCCTTTGCCATGTAAAATAGCAGTCATAGGTTCTGAGAATYGGGATGTGAACATCTTTGGGGGCTATTATTCTGCCTACCATCATATATCAAGCACCTACTCTGTACTTACTCAGATTCTGTGGTAGGTGCTGGAAACAGTGGAGACCCAAATCAGCTCTCTGTTATTAAAAGCCTAAATAATTTTAAGAATAAGAGCTCATTTTTTGAGCTCTTACTTTTTTACTGTGCTAAGCAATTTTCTTACTGTGGGGACCCATTGGACAAGAGTTACTTGACTTACCTGGTACACATAGCATAATCAGAATTTGAAGCCAGATCTATGAGAGAGGCCCAGGATGTCTTGGAACCAAAGGAGGGGCTCCTAACCCAGCTTTGGGAGAGAGATTCAGGACTGGCAGGCTTCCTGARGAAGAAAAATTGAGCAAAATARAGGGCAAGGGCTTCCAGACCTGAGGGTTGCCCAGATGAATCCATTGATTTGTGAGTACAGTATAAACATTTTGTCATTTGCATACAACACTGAAGTCCTTTTTCCTCTTTTGCATATGTCAGGGGAGGGTACTGGGGACTGAATCCAGGGGTGCTCTACCTCTAGTTCAATGGTAGAGCAATTGTAAGCCCCACCCCACCGCACCCCCCCATGCCATTTTTTTGACAGGGGCTCACTGTGTTGCACAGGCTAGCCTTAAACCTGAGCTTCTCCTGCCTCAGCCTCCAGAGTCACTGGGGATTACTGGTGTCAGTCACCACACCTGGCTGAAATGCGTTTCTCAGATTGCCTCACTCCTAGGAAATKCGCACAGCAGCCTGGGAGAAAGTAAATATTGCCTGGACCAGACCCATAATAGGAACTCAATAACTGTTTGATAGTGATTAATAAGAGATTTGCTGGAGGTCAGCTGGGAAAGACTAGACAAAGGTGGACTTGAACCTGGGTTTAATTTCCAAGCCTGTGTGCTGCCCAAGGGCCCTGACTGAGACTTGCCTTTGTCCACACAATGGACCCCCTGAGCAGCAGTTTACCAGAGGCAGAGTTGGTAACCTTGGCTTTCCAGCTGAGGCTTCCTCCCAACTCATCCTTCAAAACTTTTTTTTTTTTTTAAGAGAGAGAGAGAGAGAGAATTTTTTTATTAATATTTAATTTTTTTTAAGTTTTCGGAGGACACAACATCTTTGTTTGTATGTGGTACTGAGGATCGAACGTGGGCCGCACGCATGCCAGGCGAGCACGCTACCGTTTGAGCCACATCCCCAGCCCTATCCTTCAAAACTTGTCACTCAGACTCTTACTCCCTTAGGGACCTCTCCCTGCCAGGTGGGAGGAACTTATATGATCAACTCAGCCCAGTTGGTAGCTGCTAATGTGCTAAGTTTCCCTTTTTTAAGTATCATTAAGGTAAAAATAAATGAGTAAAATTATTATAATAATATATTTATATGGGTATGGTGGCACATGCTTGTAATCCCAGTGACTGGAGACTTCAGCAGGAGGGTTACAAATTCACAGCCAGCCTCAGCAATTTAGTGAGACCCTGTCTCAAAATAAAAAATAAAAAAAGGCTGGGAATGTGGCCCAGTAGTTAAGTGAACCTGGCTTCCATCTCTGATATTAAAATAATAATAATAATAAATTAATTAATTAATTATTAGGGTGACATGTCTGGATTTATTCAGGATAAGGCATTTCCTGGGATGTAGGCCTTTCAGTCCTAAAATCAGGAAGTCCCTGGCAAACCAGAACAAATTAGTCACCCTACTACTATACCCAAAACATTATCACTTCAACATGCAATCAATATTTTAGAATATATATATACATATATATGTATATATATAATTTTTTTTGGTACTGAACTGGTAATTAGTACATCTTCAGGAGTGAATATCCAAAGAGTACCAATTGAATGTTCTGGATAGATTGATTGATTGTGGTGCTGGGGGTCAAACCCAGGGTCTAGGGTATACTAGGTATAAGTGCTCTACCACTGAGCTACACCCCAAACCTCAAGTTTCAGATGTAGACACCCACTTTCCAAAGGGAACAGAGATGAAAAAATAGACCTTGCAAAATAATTTTTTTGGCTGAGTGTGGAGAGGCACACCTGTAACCCTATCAACTTAGGAAGTTGAGGCAGGAGGATCACAAATTCCAGGCCAGCCTCAGCAACTTAGTGAGACCCTCTCTCAAAATAAAAAATAAAGGTCTAGGGATGTAGATGAGTGGGTAGAGCACACCTGGGTTCAATTTTCAGTACTGTAAAAAAAAAGAAAAAAAAAAAAAAAGAAGGAGGAGAAGAGGAAGAATTTATGTGGTCTCTGGGGCAGGGCCCTAGGCCTCTTTATCCCAGGGCAAAGACCTTCTGGGTTGTAATCTTACATCAGTGTCCACACCCTGTCAGCAAAAAAGAGAAGCAAAATATATTTGAGAATATTCGCTCTGCCTCTACTGCCCAGAGGGAAAGTAACTGGTTCCCTGAGCAACTCCCTGGAGGGGTAGAGGGCTCCATTCCCACCCCAAACCCTGGTCCCAGCTGTGAAAGTCCTGCAACAAATTGGGTGTGGTGCTAGGAGAAAAACCCTCTAGTGGGAAGAAGGTGGAGGGGTACGAGGAAGGTTGGCCTTCCCTGARGAATAGCAAAAGATCATGGGATGTTTTTGCGGGGAGGGGGGTGCTGGGGATTGTACACAGGGGCACTCAACCATGGAGCCATAATCCCAGCCATATTTTGAATTTTATTTAGAGACAGGGTCTCACTGAGTTGCTTAGCGTCTCGCCATTGCTGAGGCTGGCTTTGAACTTCTGTCTCAGCCTCCTGAGTCACTGGGATTACAGGTGTGTACCACTGCACCTGGCAATCCTGGTATTTTTGAAGGTCCTGGAAACTCCAACAGTCCTGCCTGAAGATAAGGTGGAGCTACTGACAGGCATGCTGGTTTTTTTTGTTGTTGTTGTTCTTGTTTGTTAATATTTTTTTTTAGTTGTCAATGGACATTTATTTTATTTATTGATATGTGGTGCTGAGAATCAAACCCAGTGCCTTATACATGCTAGGCAAGCACTCTGCCACTGAGCCACAATCCCAGCCCCAGGCATGCTGTTTAAAGAAGGCTAGACCCTTATCCCAACTTTCCCACCCCAACCCACCAATCCGTGAAGGTGGGCTTCAAAATTTCAAAATGAGCACAGCCACCGCCTTTTTTTTTTTTTTTTCCTCCAGGACTGGAGATTGAACCCAGAGGAGCTTTACCACTAAGCAACATCCCCAGACCTTCTTATTTTTATTTTGAGACAGGGACTCACTAAATTGCCAAGACAGGCCTCCTGAGTTGCTGGGATTACTGTGCATGGCCATGAGTTATCTTTTTAAGCTTCTCAAGAGCACTGTGAGCCTGATACTGTCATCATCTCCATGTT